GAATTAGTTAAATACAGATACAATGTAAATTACTTCCCTTTGAACTCCCAAAAGCAGGCAAGCAGCTGCGATGTGAAATTCTGATAAATCTTCGGTGCATGTCTTGGCCTTCCTTAAGATAAAGTTGCCACAAGTTTGGAAATAAACTTGCATGTTTACTTAGAAATGAACACATGAATAGCCTCATTTCATCTACTGATGATCAAGTAACACACTGTTTTTCAGACTTCTACTTGCACACCATGAAATTTTTTTAAGAGCTGCAGGCTCTTTTATAAGAATCTAGGCTGATTGGTAAAGACTTCTCTCTCTCACAGCTGTTTTTTTGCAGTTCTTGAAATCTAGCAGGAGTACCCAGGGATCTGCTGACTACAGGTTGAAAACCACTGCTCTAGATCATTCCTCTGCACTTTTGTAGCTTGTGTAGAAAGCCAGGTTCTCCTACAGGGAAACAACAGCAATGACACTACACTACTGCAGATAAGCTTCTAACCCTCGAAGTGCTGTGAACTACTATGCAGGTGGCTACTTCAGATCCTCAGTAGAGAAATTTATGGTACTTTTGGTCTAAAAAGCAAAGCCTCTAAGCAGGGCTCATCAACTCAGTGCGAGTCCCGATAGCTGTACTTCCAGTCTCAGCTGAGTGGAGAACGTTTGCATTGTACTGCAGCTGCGTGACGCTTCAGGTGAAATGGGTAGATGACAGCCACAGGAAATTCATCTCAGATGTACAAATCAGATTATTTAAATAATTTGTTTTCTGAGAGCATCTTCTAAGCATATGGAATGCAAGCTCCTAAAAGTCCAGGTGTTCCATGAAATATTCCAGGTCTAGAGAAGCTGCTGTTTAGCAAACTAAAACTTGGCATTTTCATGTTGACTCCACACAGCACACTGCCACTCAAAGACAGAAACCTGGGTATTACACCACTTTTGGTACGCCCACCTTGTGCATGCAGTCACACCCCTCAGCTGAACACACTTATACAAGGACAGTAAGAGAGCCCTTTGGCTACATTTAACAAAAACTGCTGAAACTATTTGTTGTACAAGTAGCATCACAAACATGAAACATTATACTTCTACCATCTTTTGGAGCTGACAGGTTTCAGCAGATTTTGAGAAATCAGGGAAGCTATAAACAGATTCAGGTTTAAGGACCAGTGTTCACAATGTGCAGCTGTAACTGCAGGTAACGAATGGTCCTGCAGCAGAACTTCAGAAAGTTATGTCCCAAGACTGAATGGGAATGGAAGAAAGAAGTTTTGATATCTGACATTAAAGGGAAAATGCACTGCTATTTAATGAACGTAAAATAAATCCCCTTCCGAGTTAACTAAAGGTGGCTTGTCCACCTAAGAAGTCATAGCCAGTAGGAAGTATCGGCCCGTAACACGTCATGAGGTGGCAATCATTACGAGTCCCATTTTTGTCCCTCCTTATCCACTACAACCACATCAACTTTATTATCCATCACAAACATTCAAATTAACCTGCGCTTTACCCGCGAACGTGTGAACAGTATCAACCGATGTGAACAAAGCCCAATTCGATATACGTCTTGCCATTTTATGCTGACAAGACTGGGAAATTCCCAACTCTGTTGTCTGAGAACCATTTACCACGAGCACCCAATGGAAAACCCATGTATTTAACTGTAGTAGCATTTGTCAATTCCTGCACCTACTCAGTCAGATGTTGGTATTTCTTTACCTTCTCATCTGCAGCATCAGCCAAAGATGACGGTTTACTTTCATATCTTACTGTTATATCTACCACCATCACCTGTGCACCTTTTACAAATATTAAATCAGGTTTAAATAGTTCATTATTCCTGTCCCTCAATGATGGCTCATGAAAAGTCATCCATTCTTTATTTTCAGCTTCCCTAGATAACAACTCACATAATTGATTATGCCTTTTAATCCCTGCATCCTGTACTGCAGGACAATAGCCAACTACATGCGCACAGGTCTCAGTTTCCGGCTGGCACTGCCTACGCTGCTGTACTGTACTGTCCTTCCTACCTCTAGCTAGCAATTCTCTAGCTGGATAAACATTAGCCCTTAGTTGTAAAGCAGTCAGAAGCTTTCTCTGAGGAATACCCCTATAATGTTCAAGCCAATTATTACTTATGCTGTCCCCCACAAAATTTATAATCCCACGATTTTGGGAAAGTAGATTAGTTGAATTATTAAATTTCTGCTTATGCCAATTACAAGGTTTTGGGAAAACAGTTTTTGGAATAGCCAGTTCCCATTCTGAAAGATTTTCTCTATCAGAAGCCTTAGATATTACCATATTGGTTGTGGGACCCCATATTGATGTTATTTTATCCTTATTCCCTCCTTCTCCAACCCATAATTTAGCATACTCCTTATCCGTCCTCTCCTCTTTCACTACAGATTGAATCAGTGGATCAGAGCAATCCTATGTAACCTTCTAGCTTGTATACTGGGTACTAATACTGCTAATCTAGTAATACCCAAACCTCCATCTTTACTACTACAATAAAGTAGGGAATCACAAGTGGTAGATGGTAAATGTAACCATTCTTTCACAGAACAAGTGATTCAAGATATGTGACTTTTGTATCTGAATGGTCTGCCAAGTACATCAGTCGTGGAATGGTGTATTTCTTAAGATGTGTCTCTTTTGGAGAGGTTTTAATGGAACCCTCTCAATACAATATAACCAATTTTGTATTTTAATCAATAAATCTGGTTTAGATATTCCAACCCAAGGATCTATTTGTAATCCCAAATATTTCTCCTAATTGCCTGGTTCAATCATGTTTAATGGGGTGCCACATCATCTATACAGGACAACTGTTCACTGCGTATGCATCTTTCATTGGATGAATATAAAATCCATGACATTTTTCACCTTGCATTTTGAGTCCAATTAGCTCACAAAACCCACAAAACCCATGTAAAATTTCAATATTCTTTTCCATACCATTCCACAAATCGCTCAGCAATACCAAATCATCAGAAAAAGCCATAGCTGTTATTTTACCGGTACCATGCTGAAATCCATTACCCTTCTCTTCCAATTTACAGAGCAAAGGATCTATACATAGGTTAAACAAAACTGGTGACATAGGGTTGCCCTGTTTTACTCCTGTCCAAATTCTAATAGGGTCAGATCATTCTTTTTTCCTGTCTATATATGTAATAATATTATAATGTAGATCTTTAATCAAGGTTATAATGTGACCATCTAGACCCTTCTGTTTTAATACTGCAATAATATGTGAATGATTAACTGTATCAAAAGCTTTTGCTATATCCACAAAAACTGCTCCTAAAGACTGATGTTGTCTCTTCGCATTCTGGATGCTAAGTTGCAACAATTTTAGATTTTCTGAATAATCTGATGATCTGATAAAACCTCTGTCGTGCATTAATGGAACAGGCTTTGGTTAATCTGGCAGTCAATATTCTGGAATATAATCTTAATAAAATTGAACTGATGGTAATTGGTCTCAAATTATTTATATCACTTTGACGTTCAGGTAATGCCGATTTTGATATCAATATATTTCTACATTCTCTCATTACATCTGGAATAATGCCAGTCACCAGCCATAGATTAAACAATTCCATCAGCTGAGTATAATGTGGGTCCACCTTAATTAAATTTCTCAAGCTTAATCTGTCAGGTCCTGGGGCTGAATCTTTACTCATCTCTTTCATGTTTTTAGATTCCTTTTGCCGTAATCATGGCCTCAGATGCCGAATTATCCACATGACCAAGGGATTGGAATGCACCTAGACCTCTGAATGATCCCGGTGTTTCCCATCTCAATTTGAACACCTCGTGCACCTCACCGAGGGGGATCTTACATTGCAGGGATTCCCAGTCATCCGGTATTATTCCAGCTGGTTTCCCTCTGTCTAGGTGAAACAGCCGTTGGAATCTCAGGAACCATCCCCGCTTTTTCGATCTCCTCTTCATCCACCCTAACAGTGAGTTCAAGGGTCGCCGTTTACAGGTATCTTGGTGATTCTCACCCTGGTCTGCTTTTTCTTTTGAGGGTTTCATATACAGGTACTTATAGTTCTCCTCAGTTGCTTTATTAATTAGGGTCAATGGATCTTCCTCTCTAGAAATTATCTTTTGGAACGTGTCTTGGAGTGTATGTAACTTTCCAGATGTCATCCATTCTATAAACTTACTAGAACAATGAGTTTTCAATCTACTATCTGTGTCCAAATTTACAGTCATCAATTGTCCACCTTCTGTATACAGGATTGTTCTTTTTTCCCTTTGTTCTTCTGTCTTCTCTTTCTGTGGACCTGATGGTAAAAGCCTCCTTTTATCACTTATCTGTTTAGCCGTTTTTGATGGAATATGTTTGGCAATCAACATGTTAATATTTCTTTGCCCCTTATATCTCTTATTTAATTATTTTAAAAGTTCCATCTCCACTTCTGACCAACAAGGTTTATGTGCCCCTCTTTTAGAGTCCTTCATAGGGTGAGTCACAGCTATACACTCTTGATTCTTAATCAGTGGATGAACTATACGCTTATGTTGTCCCAAACCAATTTTAGATTTAAATCCTTTTCCACAAAAATGCAGTGCTATGAAATATTTCTAAGAGTTACCCGTTTTTACCTCGAACTGTGTATTTTTATTCCACAGTGTTTACTTAGCTTTATGGCCACTTCCTTGGAAAAGAAATGTCGATCAAGTAAACAGATCACATTTTCAGAACAAGCACTTACCAGGATATATCTTAATGATTGTGCTAAACCTGGTAACTTTGTTATAATCATACTTTTCTTCTTTCACCTACATAATAAATTACTCTGTACCTTATAGCTATCATTCTTCTCTTTTCTTCAAACACAACTGTTACACTCATTAGATTTTAATAAGTTCACATGCTCAAAAGATACTCTCCTAAAAAAACCCAACTTATCAGGTCACACACTGACATGGAAATTGTAAAAACAGTAATAAAAAAACTGTTGTCATCTTTACAGATTACCATCCTGCTAAGTCAACAGCCTCTCTGAAAACTGTTCAGGATGGTGGGCCAAACGTAGCTCCTCTTCGCCAAGTGAGTGCAATGCTGTTGACTTCAAAAGGAATGTATCTGCCCTGTGAGATTTCCTTTGTATAAAAGCTTCCCCTGAAGCTTAATGGAAATTAAGTTTTCAATCTATTCTAGATTTTCAAAAGGGACAATTTATCACTGGACAAAAATGAATTTTCCAAAGTATTAATGAATTTCTCTCTCATCCATGCTTTGAAGTTTCTATACCATTCTATAAGCTTTTTTCTCCTTTGAATCTTCTCTTGTAAGCTCATTTTTTTTTCTTTCTCTAGAACAGCAGGAAGCTCTCTCCAGTTTTTAATAAAGATAAATGGAGCCCCCATGGTTTTTAGTAATTGTAATGGAGCCCTGTGGTACGCTGATGAGTTTCCACAATCACCCGGTGTCATTACATCTTCTATAACAGGCAGAGATCCATATGAACAAGCTTCATAAATTCTATAGCATTCTGTATTTATTCCCACTGGGCACAATGTCAAATCACTCTGGAGCAAGGCATCTTGATAATTTTTGAAACTTTCATTTGTTTCTTGAGGCTGCCACCTAGGAAAGTAAATGGGTTAAAAATTAACATTTTTCCCCACAGACACTGCAAGGAAAAAATAGAGATACGCTTCAATTACAATTATTTATAATACTGAAAATGCTGTCAGTGTAAGAATTTTGCATTACATACACAACAGGCTTTTACTTTTAGTCTTAACTATTCTTAAAGAGTCTTCTAAGCATTTATTGAAAATGTCACTGTTAAAAATAGATTGTAGGGCTTTTTAGATATGGTCTTTTTAGGAAATTGTTAATACTTAGAAGTGTAAAAGCATACTGAAATGCCATTTTACATCTTCTGCATGACTTGGATGATGCATATGTCAATTTGCTTCACAACACAGTTCAAAAACATATATGCAGGGCAAAACTTCATGGACTTTCTAATTTTTTTTTTTTTTTCCTCATATACTTTAATCATAGCATCATAGAATCATAGAATGCTTTAGGTTGGAAGAGACCTTTAAGATCATCAAGTCCAACCATTAAGCCAACTAAGCCAACTACGTCCTCTGCTAAAACAGATCAGAATCTGTCAGGGTTGGAAGGGACCACAAGGATCACCCAGTTGCAACCCCTCTGCCATGAGCAGGGACACCTCCCACTAGATCAGGCTGCCCAGAGCCTCATCCAGCCTGGCCTTAAAGACCCCCAGGGATGGGGCCTCAGCCACCTCCCTGGGCAACCCATTCAGTAGAGGTTTGGTCTCCAGAAGTTAGGATGTAAAGCAGTCTCTTAACCTGGATCCATGTGCCTGAAGTGTCTTAAAATGTCTGTGAGATAATGGTTTATGTCATGGATACAACCATCTCCTGAGGTTCTTCATCAGGGTAGCTGAGGTGTCCCTTGGCACTGCTGTGCCAGCCATCAAACGTTTTACAGCTGCTGCTTGGCAAAATTAAGAAATACAATCAGAACCCTATTTCTGCTAGTGAAAAGATCTGTTCTACCTACTTGAAATCAAAAAGAGCCATGCTATACAGATTATATCTAGTCTCTTGTTGGAACACAACAAAATACAGCTTTTTCTTCTATTATGACATTAATACACACAAGGTGCAATACAGAGTTCTCCTCCCACCATAATCAAACATAAGAAAAGAAAGGTAGTCTTTGTATGGAGTACACATAGATGATTTTTCTATGTGTTTAAAAAACATGCTTTATGTAAAATATAGCCACAGAAAGGCTTTTCCATTACAAAGATGCATGCAAAGGGTGTCATAATTGTTCTCTGTTATAATTATGACTGGTTATCTTTATTTGTACTGATTTTTAACACTCAAGAAAGGATTGGTAATAACGAACCAAGCAAAAAAATCTGAATGTTTTCACAAAGTAAGTCAAACTCTTACTGTTCTCTGGCTGCAATCCAGCAAAGTTTGTCAAGCCCATCCTGCTTCAGAATTTCCATTAGGGTTTCCCTAGAAGAGTTCTTGTAAACTGTTCCTAAGAAATTACATAGATATGATCTTGGATCACGCAGCATTGACCAGCTGGGTTCTACAACTGGGAAATTTCTGTAGCTGTAAAAACAAAACATACAGTTATCCAAGATATATATAATATAGAAAAATAAGAAAAAACATACTGCTTTAATCTTTACTGCAGCAGATACTAAGACTAAAATCACCTATTTGCTGCCAATCCACATCTATAAACACAAACAGATCCACAAGCAAACCAGAGTAAGCCTTGTCCCAAAAGTTGGTCTTTATTCCCTTTGCCCCTGCCACTCTCTTCAGAGACTTTCCTACTTATGTCCTCAGTAGGCATCAGAGATATTTTGCATGCATTTTACAAAATGCCCTTGAGGAACATGATTTTTCGAAACCAGCTGTTCTTGCCACAACCACTGCTTTTGACCGAAATGGCTGAGTGAATGGTAACTATGGAGTTTAAGTCTCAGCTACTTCAATCTCTGGGCATGCTTATTGACAGAAAATACCACAGGTAACCTCTCAAAGGAAAACTCCACTTCGATGTGGGTGGACTTCATGAATTTAATCTTTTGGTTACTAAATAGCTTGTTGTACAGTCTAATTAACTTGTCTTTTTGGACTCAGCAAACCCAGTGCTAAGTGCTGGGCTCCAATGCAAACTGTACACCATCCTCTCAGACATGCTTTCACCACATCAGGCATTCTTCTTTTTTGACTGATTACTCAAATCTTACAGTACTTTTGGTCAGCATGACAGCCAGTGAAATACTGTTTCAGCTGAAGAGCTAAACTAATTGTTTCATTACATAAACTTGTGTCTTTTCTGGAACAGATGAATGTTAAAAAAGTTTCTGCTCCTTTGCAGTATCAATTTAAGACAGATATTCCTTCTAATATTATTTCTGAAGGATCACTGTTCTTCTACTTCCCTGTTGTTTCATTTTTTTTATAAGAAAAGCTATACCCTGATGCCTATTCTTTGCTGGTTCCAAAGGCAGCCTCTACTTCATTTCAGTGGTTTCTTCATTGCCATTAATGGTTTTTGAAGACATACTCCATTTTTTCACTTTCCCAAACTTTGATGGTACAAGTCCTTCTCCTGCATGATGAATGTGAATTCACTTACTTTCAGAAAACCATTTTTTCTTGATGCTAAATAATTCTGAAGAATTCTCCATCTTTATTTTCCCTCTTCACTTGGAAAATTTGGCACATCTGCATACCATCAATCACAATTTTTACAACTGTTGATGTGCAAACACTGCAAAGCCCCATTCTGATACCTGATCTATCTTTCTGTGCCCAGCTTTGCACCACAGTTTACTGTTTTAACTGTTATTGCTTTCTGTTATCTGTCACCTTAATCTTTGCATCTCAAAACACTCAACTTCTTTTTGCTCAGGAATTTCTAAAGCCATCAATTCTCTGACACCATCAAGAATCCAAATATAATGCATTTCAATGACACTGTGGGCAAGTTCAACCTATTACAGTTTGATAACTAGCTTAGTAGAGGATATTGAATTCAAATTCAACACAAGATCTGAAAATAATCCTGTATTCTTTTAATCTTCTATTACCGTAAGTAGCTAAAACACTATTAACGCTGTTAATAAGAGTAAAAATGCATCTAACTGAAACAAATGTTTATCTACTCTACATAAATAGTTTGAGCAGTAAATACCACAATGTTTTTGTGAGTTAGAAGTTAGGCCAGCTTATGTTACTGCGATACTGGAGTATCTCCATCTCCAAACAGGAGGCATACAGCTTCCTCTTGAGAGCCATAGCAGGAGTTAAAAAATGCACCACCAGTACCATCCCTTTCCTAAACAAGCAGTACCTGGAACTTAATCACACAAATATCTTTTAAATCCCCATGTCACTGGTACACATTACATCAGCAGTTATGATAAATCTCAACAGCAAATCCACTGAAGAAAAAAAAAACCCCAACAGAAAACTTCACCAGCCACAGGTTCAATTTTTTACAGCCCCTTCAATCCCAGCATTATTTTCCTGTTATCATTTTTATTGCTAAATGCAAATCCCAGACTCCAATGCTTAATTTAGAATATCATTAATAGGATCATGATCTCAGTTACAGGAATTGTTTTGGATATCAGCAGTAACATTCTGAGGCATTTTCCATCCCTCATGCATAACAATGAAGTGTCAGTTGTAATTTGTGTCTATAGCACTTACGTAGCTACTCCTAAAGGCCACTGGAAAATATCTTCTTCGTTTACCGACGCATAGTCATATGTAACAAAGAGCAGATTTACAAATCCTCCGTTTCTTCTCAGGTACGGCTGAATCCACTCATTGTTGCACTGCTCATTCCCAAGCAGCACAACCGCCACGTGCTGTATTTTGTGAGCCTGAACCAAGGCCTGTGCGTAGTGCAGCCACTGCGTGGCGTACGTGATCTTCGCCTGTTCTCTCCCGTTCAGAACCAGCACAACGCTTTCAGCATCCACTGAGAAGTAGCCAGGAACTACAGACGGACCAGTGACGAAGCTGCAAAAGCCACAATACAAATAGTAAACACCCTTAAGGCAAATTATTGACCTTAACCCTCTAAACATCCTTCCTACACAGACTGTACCCTAGAGATCTTTTTTTCTTCCATAAAATAAATGCAAGATACTGCAAAGTAATTGTGCAGCTGTAATCATTTCTGTTGTTTGTATCTACAGCTTAACACAGGAATAAAGCTGCCTTCAACTTTATTGAGGAAAAAGGAGATTTATACACAAAATAAGGTATTTTGTCAATAAATCATAACTATTACCATATTCAAACATCAAAACATGGGTAAATCAATCAGCTTTAATAGAAGGATGTACTTGGATGTCCACCAAATGTCAAACTTCTTAACTCCAGTAATAACCAATGAATGCTGTATCAGAATGGGAGAGAGGCCCTCCCAAAAATCTGTAAGAGTATACTAAAACAGGTACTATGATGAGGGACATTGGCTGACGTGGCATACTACTTTTCTCTGTAATTTTGGTTAAGTTAAGGCTATGTCACCAAACAAGAGGAAAATCCAGTCTGATGTAGACATTTCTTTATTCAGTGCTGGGAACATGGGGCATAACTCCACCAAACATGTTCAATTTTATATTACATTGACCACTCTTTTATATCCTTTTTTGTTATCCACCTATCCATCTATGGCTACTTAGCCTGTTTTACATAAAAATTCATACTATTCTCACTATTAAATCTAACCTTTACAATGATTGGCTCTCTTAGTTGTATAACTTCATCAACATTCCTATTATAAAAAAAAATCATTGGATATTTCTATTGATTGGAATTCTTGATATTCAGATCACAGTGGGATAAGTAAGGGGTTTCCAAGCAGCATAGATTGTTTCTATAACGAGTTTCCTCAGTTTCTCAAAACAAACTTAAACCACTATGGTTAATATATAATATTGCTATGTCTACCAAACTTAAATACAATTTGATTTCCTTGCACTATATGTTTTGGATGCTTCATCATGGCAACAGTTAGACCAAAAAATTACTGTGTCATCTGATACCAAGTAGAATCTGTAACACAAGAGGCACTAAACTAAATGTAAACTTATTTTGCATGACCTAAGTCAAACTTGAGGCTCCAAGAAAAGCTAATAAGCACAAACTTTTTAAGTAGAAAATTTCATGTCTAGGTATTGCACAACGCATTTAACAGAGGAATTTCAATCATGCAGCAGAATCATTAAATCACTGATCATGTACAAGTACCTGACAACAGCCATTTATGAACTGCCATGAAGCCAAGCAGTGCTTGCCAGCTCCTGCTCTTCAGTGAACTGTTGTGTTATCAGACTATTGACTGAACTCAAAGGATTAGTGATGACACAGCTCGGGAAAGAGGGAAAAAGAAAACCAGATTTTTTTTTTTTTCAAGAGTCAATTAAGTATTAGCCCTCTAGGTCTGCTGTATTACTACATTTTTTTCAGCTACCAGCAAAACTTAATTTAGAATGAGTGTGAGTTTTAGGTCATCTAGAATGACTGTGAGTTTCAACTCATGAAGTGCTGAGATTGACAGCTAGTTTCAATTCAAGTATGCCACTTAGTGAGGAAAAGCAAATTCACAGCAAAAGCTGTAGAAATTACTTCAGTGAGGTTATCTGAAGCAGACTGACCTTAGCCAAGATATGCTAAACCTGATTTAAGCCAAAACACTACTGGCTTGGTTCAAGTGGCAAATTCTAGAATCATGACTCATGAGACTCATGATTTGGCATCAAGACTCCATGACATGCAAGCCAGGCCAAGACTCACAACCAAAATTTAACAATGAAAAAAAAGACTCCACTCAGTTTAACAGACAATGAGAAAAGAATCTCTGGGATTCATAAAGGAGAACACTTCAAGTATCATAATGCCCACAAGAGTGAATAGGATACATTGTTGATCCAGTGATCACTTTACAAAAAGAGACCTGGGGAAGAGGGTTTTAATTATGGACACAGTCTTGTGAGCCTATCAACTTTACAGGAACAAGAGGATGTACAGGTGGGGAGGCAATGTCATGTGCATAGGAAATATGAAGTTTGATAACATAGAATTACATTAGGGAGAAATACAGTGCTGAAGTTGCACTATTAAATCCCAGACAGAATACAGTTGGGACTGGGAAACATGATGTTATGGAAGCTGTAACATTAAGGCAGCAGTACTAGGAGACTTTGACTACTCACATGAAAGCTACATCAAGGATGCTATGGGGAGATTACATTTTTTGGACTCAATAAATGAAATTAAGTCCTTGGCTTGCCTTACTAGTCTTAGAACTCATATGCTGAAAAGATTCTATTCCAGACTGAGTCTTCCAGACTTGATCTAAAGGTGTTAGTCATACAGCCATTCTGTAATAGCAATATGATTAACTACAATACTGCAGCAGGAGAGAACATACCAAATACACCCAGTATAGAGACACTCCATTTGCAACAAAGGAATTCCTTAAAAATGAGAAAACCAAGACAAGAACTCTGGATCTTATCAAAAGGTTCAGGTAGGTGAAGAAACACTGCTGAAGATGAGTGAGTCCTGTCTCACTGATCTGATGTAGATCTCCAAGTGTGTCAATAAGAACAGAGACAGAGAGGATCCAGCAGACACAGCATATCTGCATTCTGAAAAAGCTTCACCAAAGGCTATGAGGAAAACTAAATTGCCATGAGATATCCTTGTCAGAAGCCTTTGGCAAGTCTTTGCTGATTTAACACTGTTGACAAACATGCTTTCATTCTGGCATGAATCAAGATTGTTGCTATTTGCATAAGGAGGACAGGAGAATGAGAGTTACGAACTGCTGAACAACTGGGGCAAACAGGGACTGGGGAAGGCAGCACTGAAGGTCTGTAACAGAAAGGGTGTGACTCTCAGTGGAACAGAAATTTAGGAATGCTCTTACTTAATGATAAAAGTTGGGCACATCCTGCTCTGAAACATCCTCCCAAATGAGGGGAGTGAAGGATGTGAATTGCTTCAGGCCATGGAAAGTGCTAAACCCTGCTCTCCTACTCTTTATGAATCTGCCAACCTGTCACTAAAAGCCACAGCTATGCAGTTCCTTCTCCACTGATGTTTCTGGATAAATGTCCCTGCATTTCATGCAGAAGTTGATACTTTTAGTATTCTTCAGGCAACTTCTTTGGTAACAACTTGAAGCCATCAATATCTGTATTAAATATGTATATTTGCCATCATAAATATATGAAATGGGTTTATTTGTGCAACTGTGCTAAAGTGATATTTTCCCATTTTTGTGTTTTTACATTTGATCTTCTTTAAGAACATTCACGAGAGTTTTATGTTTTAACAGTCATTAGACTTGCCACAAAAACCCACACAGCAGCACACATTCTCCAAATGTCACCTCAGCTAATTCCCTCTAGACTCATCTAATAATCAAATGGAGACAACTGACCTCAGCCAGGGAATAAAGAAAATCTTTTAACCACAGAGCAGCCAAAATCACAGACTAATTTTTCCTCTCAAAACCCAAAAAAAACTCCTATTTGAGTAAAAACTAGAACTTCAGCTATTTCATTTCAGAATCCTAATAATTAAAATGAAGTATATCTGCATATTTTCTATACTTTACACAATAAGTTCCTACCAGTCTGTCAAATTTTAAACACTGTTATGTTGGTACCAAATGTAAACTTTATATTTTTATAGGATCTAGCATCCAAGTTGAAGTTAAAATAAAAACTCTATTAGCCCTGGTTCCTCTAACATAACAAGAAAGTATTTAAATGCTAGCAGAGAAATCTTTCCTTGAGACCTAAGGACCATGTGAGGTTATTACTCACCTGAAACAGGCACACCAGAGATAAAAAAACAATAACCAGTCAAGTGACAGACTCATTAAGTGCAGCAAATTATTTTCACATTATAAACATGAAAGCAAGGGCTTGAAAAAAATCCTCATGTCCATAGAAAGAAGACAAGCTTTCTGGTAAAGTGTCATTGGTTTCTATAGCCTCCAAGTTTTAAAGTCTGGAAAAAAAGAAAGCTCTCTTCCCATGAACACTATAGGCACTGGTCCCCATCCTTTCTCCAAATCCATGAGATAAAGGCCCTATTACATTGTCAAGGAGACTACCAAGATGCAGTAGCATCATCCATAGTTGATTCCCTAATCTTATAGAATAAGGTGATATCTGCAGACAATTAGCAGAGTATAGCTATTTTTTTTTTAAAGACTATGCAATTTCTTCCATTTTGTTACATGTAAGACAGACCCTTTAGTAATCCCTACGTTTAAATCAAGCCCGTGTCTTTCCAGAAAACATACTTTAATCACTTATGAATGTGATGTAGGCATTACTAAAAATATTCTATGGCTTGCACCATCCATTTTCAGATACATTGATAAACAATTCAAAGTGATAAAAAACTACTGTGATCACTTAAAACCTCCTTTCAATTCACAATCACATATTTACTTCAAACAGGATCTGCAGATTTAAACTACAATTCCCTGTCTTATTGTGTAAGGAAAAAAAAACACCTTTCTGAATCAACAGTTTCCAGAAGTTAAATTCACTTAAGTCTGTCATTTATGCTTTAAAAGAAAACTTTTTTAACAGATGGGTCCTGCCGCAAGTGACTAAATGTTGTAGGAGAGGTACAACTGCAGACTGGCAAACTGGCCAAACAGATGAAAAATCCTTCAGCCTCCACTGTATCTGTACAGAAAGCCTTAAAAATGGTATTATAGGACCTTAGAGAAAAATTTGCTATCATTCACTAAAAAATATAAAATGCTAGACAACCATTTAAAAACATGTACAATCAGAGATCAAAATCCATTTTAAAAGCAAACAATGCTTCAAGTATAATCTTCCTTTACATATAAAATTTTGCTTTGCAGATCCAGCAGTTAACCAGATGCTAGGTCTCACAGACTGTTTTTGTTAGAAACAAACAATTGTTTTGATACAATCCTATTTATGAACAAACAAGTGAAGTCCCTTTTCCCTGGATGTAACAGAAACTAACAAGCAGGAGACATCTTCTTGCCTCAAGCCCCCAAGCTTTTTTCAGTCAACTCTCATCCTCAGTTCTTAGATTTTTCTCAGAGTTGTATTCCCCCTGCTCCTGAGGTCTCTTAGCTTCCCTCCTTCTCAGTAAGTCTGTCCACTTCTCTTTCAAATACACAAATCTTCACAAAACAGCAGATGGAAAGGATCCTTAGTTTTCTGGTTTTTTAATAGTGACATGTTTGGGCTAGAATTTGCTGGGTTTATGAAGTATGTGTTTCTATGAATAAATGTAACTCTCCTTTGTGATAATTTTTAATGGGAAGTTGCGTGCATATTCCATAGTTATCAAAACATGAGAAAATTAAAATATTTGCTACTATTATTAAAGTAACTGTGACTTTGAGTCAGATAAAATTATGTACCTGTGCATCTTATCATGTTCTTTACCCATCCAATGCACCATTTGTTAAAATTAACACAAGTCAACATTGTACAGCTAGTACCTGAAATATGTTTTTCCAGCTCTTTGGCTTCCTTCTCTCCACTGTGCAGTCACATCAACTGGCTCAAGATGCCCTCCAAAAATATGTTGCCAAAGGTAAAGACCTACATAAATGAAGACATGATGGAGAATTTGAATTGCCCACTCTACAATCCTAGCAAACAGAATTACTTCTGGGAAATTAATTAAGTGCAGCAACATAAGAACTTGGGAAAGAAATACCAGGGCTTCTTATGTAATATAGACTATAATTTGCTTCCCAAATTCTGTATGACTCCAAATTAGTTAAGATAAATTTTTCACACATCAGGGCACTTAAAACATTCCTTGGATGTCAAAATATCAGTAGCTGAAGATACACCACATTACCACTTCTGTTAACATTTTTTTCCAGTACACATACCACTTAAAAATTAAAAAATATTAATCAGCATTTTAAGGACAAGCATACTTCTCTTGAGCTTTTGTGAAACACTTCAAATTTTTGTGATGTAATGCATCGGTAGGTAATATACCAACATGTTCTACAATGCTACATGAAAGTACAGCCGAAGCTGGAAATTTTACATTTCCCAAAAAGGTTAAATAAGAAAAATGACATGTCTTCAGCAGCAGTTACAGCTTCAGAGGATCTTGCCCATAAGTTTTTGTAGAGAGGAAACTCAGTCTTCTACAACAGAAGAATTTCCAGATTCATCAGTGGCATTAATACTGCAGTACAGAAGATGCCTTCTCAATGTGAGATATTTTATTTCACAAAATGTAAATGTGATAGAGATACTCTGATTTAACCGAAAGAGGCCTGTCCTAGTGTTGTGTTGTAAATTACACTGGATTAAAAATGCAACTGTGCTTCTCTTCCATTGGAGCTGTTTTCTTTGACAGATGTGAAGAACAGTCTTGCAAAGAACTGATACAGAAAAGATGGGAGTCTTAACTATTCCTATATTGGTATTAACATAAATCTGAGTAACAGCTACATTACTTGTGTAGAGAAATCCATATATTTATTAATATACATAAATTTTAGTCACTAAAACAACAGAGAAGAGCTGTATCAGAAAGCCTAAGTGATTAACAGATTACATCTGCTTACCAATTGCTGCTTTGCCCCAAATCTGTACTCTAACACTGGTTTGTTCTAGGTGAGATCTTGCGTTTTTTATCATTTTAAGATTAGCTTCGTATCTCTGCTGAGAAGCAAGCAGCTCATTTTTCTCGTCCCCTTCCCAGGGATTCCACTCTTCATTTCCCACAGCAACATGATCTAGGAAACCCAAAAGCGTAATATACAAGGTTTACAAGGTTAGAACGAATGTGCTTGAATCCTGAATTTCAGGCAGCACCTGCCAGCT